ATTTAATAATGAAATACAACAGGAAAATCTCCAAACATTTGGCATTAAACAGTACATTTCTAAATAATCCATAAGTCAAAGAGGCAGTCTCAAAAAAAATAAAAATAGATACAAATGAATGAAAATAAAAATATAGCATAGAAAAACTGTGTGGGACACAGCTAAAGCAGAGCTAAGAAGGAAATTTATAGCACTAAATGCTTACATTAGAAAAGAGAAAAGTTTTCAAATCAATAATCTAACTTCCTACTCAAGAAACTACAAAAAGTAGACCAAAATGAAACTAAAGTGACCGGAAGGAAGAAAATAATAAAAGTAAGACCAGAAGTGAATTGAAATGAAACAATTAAACAATAGAGAAAAACAAAGAGCTAGTTCTTTGAAAAGATCAATAAAATTGGTAAATTTGGCAAGACTGACAAAAATAAGAGAATTTAAAACGCACCAGTATGAAGACTGAAACAGAGTATTACAACATATCCTGCAGCCATTAAAAGTATAATAAGGGACTACTATTAACAATCTTACACACATAAATTCAAGCAGCAATTCCTCAGTGATGACCACCAACTACCAAAACTCAGCAAAGATGAAATAGATAATTGGAATAGTCCTATAACCATAATGAATTGAATTTATAATTTAAAAACTTCAGAAATTATCTTCAAATAAAAAGTAAAAAATAATGCTTCTGAAAATCTCCAGGCCCAGTGTGGTTTCACTGGAAAATTCTATCAAATATTGAAAGAAAGGAAGGAAGGAAGGAAGGAAGAAAATTAAAAGAAAGGAAGAAAAGAAGAAAACAAAGAAAGAAATTTACACAATTTCTTCCAAAAATAAAGAAGGAAGGGACACTTCCCAATTCATTTTGTTGCATTTAGGACACGTCCAAGATTTTGGAGAGCCAAGAATGAAGCTACATATATTTCTTTTCAAGTCAAACTCAAAAGGGAATTTGGAGCTGGAAACACTTATCTAAGAGGAATTCTTTTTTTTTTCCCTTTCCAATGTATGATTTGCGAATAAACATTTCAGCTGCTCTCTGCCATTTGTTAATGACCAGCTCTGCAAAGCAATATGGAAGCTCATGGTGGGTCAGGAAGCCAAAGTCTAGGATTCCAGATGTGTTCTGTTATTAAGCCAACTTGTGTACTTCAATAATTAAATAAATGTTATCTGCCTCTGTAACAAGAGCACTCTGGTCTAGTTCCAAGATGCTAGTTTCTATATGATTATCCACACCAGCCAATAAAGGCAAAACTAGTAACTGTATTTATGTTGTTACTGTAAAGTGATTAACACTGAAACCTGAGTGCTCCTCCCAGCTGGATGAACCTTGGGATCCAAAGTAACTTTCCAAGCAACAGTTTCCCCAGTGCTAATGGTTAAAATTTTCCTTCTAAATTTGTGGTGGGTATAAAACAATGCAATGTTTGTAAATACCTAGCAGAGTAACTATCCTGGAAGAGACCCTGAACTCATGGTGGATATAATTATTGCTAAAATTTTTGTGGCCTTAAAGATGTTATAATCAAGAGCAAAACCAAACTAAAAGTGTGGTGATAACTGACTGTTAAAATAAGTAGACTTAAACATTAACGACTGAAAGGTTTGTCTGGCAGCACTTCATTTCAATTATAATTGACCATGGAGAAAAATCTGTTTTCAAGTAAGAGACTCTCACTTCCAAGTCTTTAAAAGCCAGAATGGTTTGAAAACCACAGTCTTTTGAGCTATAACCTGATAGCCTTTCTCTGTAGTCTTGGATTATCAGCCATTGCCTCATAAAGAAAATTTCCCCTCCTCCACTGTTGAGGGTTCCTGATAATGTCATATTGACAATAAACAATTTTTTTTCCATTAGAGACATTTCTATATTAAAGGTTTTTGTTTTCCTCGCATACGTACCTACAAAATTCAAATACCATTGTGCAGATCTACCATTTAATTTCTCCAAAATTCCTTAACATTAATGGCTGTTATTTATAATCTCTACCAGTATAAGCTTCTTGTACCACAAGCTTAGCACATTTATCACCCACTGGTAGGGTAAAGAGTACAAAATCACCAGGAGAAAGACCTTCTGACCTCTTAATGGGCCTCAGTGTAACCCAAGGGTCCCATTTAATCAACTGTAGAATATCCAATTCACTTTCTAAAAATCCACTGTGTATAGTTTCAAGGCCTAGGAAAGATGTAGTAATTTACAGAGATTTCAATTCTGCCAAGAATGTAGGAGAAGAAAGAGGCACTTTTTAATTGCAATTAAGTAAAGATTAAGAGCAGTGCCAAGAAGCAAATTGGGATTAAAATCTCATTTGGCTATAGCTGATATAATTTTGCCCTGTTATAATGCTTAATCATATGATAACTGAATTTACTATGATACAATCTGGTGTCAGTGACAGCAGAAGATGGGAGAGGGTCAGATTCAGGATGCAAGGCTGTGGGAGACAGGAGGAGGAGCGAGACAGGGCGGCATCATGGGGTGGTGCCATGTCGATGCTGGTGCTGAAGTCAACTTAAAGATAGAGAGAGCCGACCTTCAAGCTCCTCCAGGAAATATGGCTTTTACAGTTATCCAAAGAGACTCTTTCCTCTATGAGGTAGTCCATTGACAAAGAGTTGCTCCCCCAAATAACTCCGCCATGTCCCTTTGGAAAGTCTCTATTAGTATCACCAAACTCAGCAAAAGGCCTGCTAACTGTAGGGCCAGGAGCCTTTGTGCATCGTTCCAGAGACACTGCATGAGCTGGGTTACCTGAATTTTATTAGCAGAGGTGATTCTCAGCGAGGTCAGGGGACATCATTTGTCTTCCCTAACATTCAATAAATCGAACACTGCAGTGGGAACTGCATTGGATTTTAGTTCTGATAGCACCTGTGGTGGTCAAAACTAGGAGCTCAAAAGTCTCAGTTCACATGCGTATATTGATGTTTGACTTCGGGAGAAAATCCTGTTCACATATCATTTTTCTTCTCTTATCTCCCCACCCCCCACAGACCACATTAGCTGCCACTCACTTCCTTCACACCTGATGCACTTGCTTCTATTTTTAGCACGATCCTGCTTTAGAATGCATTCTTCTAATTGAAGTGTCATTATCTCACCTTGGAGGTGGCATTTCCCCTGTGAGGTGGGAGCCGTCAAAGCCACCAGGCTTCCACAGAATATAGTTGAGTCCTGTTAGGTCGGTCTCTCTGAGATGGAGAGGGTGATTTCTGTATCCCTAAATTATCCCGTGATGTTTTACGAAAGAGTACAAAATGTCACACGTCTTCTTCTTTGTGTTGACACGCGTAAGTGAAGTCAGTGGAGCAGAGTCAGTGGGGGAAACTGAGCCCCGTTCCTAATCTAACTCTGTTGCTCTCTTAACACATTCACCCAACTTTCTCAGCCCTTCAGACTCAGAGTTTACAGGTTTCGTGGGTTCCAGCACATTTATAACCACATCCCAGTATATGAACTATATTCTAAACCGAGACTGAAATATCTCTTTAGAAAACTGTCAAATGATGGCAGCAAACTAAATTAAAAAAATAAATAATAATGTAAGTAGATATTTGCATCTTTCTTTTTCTCAAGGCTTTGGGAACCAAAACGAAAACTTCTTTACGTTAGCCTCTGCACCGATAGCTAGAAGATTCTCAATTAATTCTTTGATAAACATTAGCAGAAGAAAATAAGACAGTGCAGGATGCAAACGACACGTTATCATAGTATATATCTAAATTGATGGCAGAGTTACCACCAAAGAATAGAGATAACAACATTTTTTAACATTCAGAGAAAATATTTCCAAATGCTTTTCTTGAAATAACTAATAATTTGAAACCCTTTTGTGTTCTTATTACTGTAAAAGCACAAAGTCAATTCAGAGGTCAAAATATATCCTTTCCCAAACGAATAAAGTAGTGAAACAAGACAAAGTCTGGTTGGCTGCTATACATTTCTCTAATTCTTCTCCCACAGACTCAAATAAGCCACGGGATGAACTGAAGGACATATAGCTGTGCACAATACAGAGGAATTTAATTCTCTAATCTGACAAAAGGCTAGCAGTGTCAGCATTAGTAGCTGCTACTGGTATTAATCCTCGGCGAGGATTGTGCTTTTTGTCATAGCTTATAACAATGGTACATCTTCTGTATCTATTACACACATATATCTGTACATATTATAGACACATATACATAAATTTAGTGCAGGAATCAGACGATAGATGACAGAGCAGGCATTGATGAGCACTGGTGAGAGCGCATGCGCTCTACCAGGACCTACTTACTGATGGAAGGCGGGGTCCCCCGGGCTGGTGGTC